GGGCCCAGACGGTTACTCGCTGACTTACTACAAACGGTACCTTCCCATACTAGTAACTCCATTTTTGAACGCCCTGAACTCATTACGCACAGCCCAAAAACCGCCGCCTGACTCCCTCAGGGCTTACATCACAGTAATACCCAAGGAAGGAAAGGACCCGTCCCTATGCCCTAGCTATAGGCCAATATCACTCCTGAACGTGGACATTAAACTCTTTGCTAAAATCTTATATCTACGCCTCATCCCCCATCTGGGGGAACTTATCCATCCAGATCAAACCGGATTCATCCCCTCCAGGGAGGCGAGGGACAATACCACTCGAGCACTTGGGGTGATCCACTCCGCCCGATCGAACGCCACCCCATGTATAATTCTTTCCATCGACGCGGAGAAGGCGTTCGACCGGGTGGACTGGAAGTTTCTTCACGGTACGCTGGAGGCGGTCGGAGTGGGAGATCATATGAGATCCTGGATTAGGGCACTATACTCCGACCCCACGGCCCAGGTAAGGATAAATGGCACATTGTCGTCCTCGTTCTCTATCTCGAATGGTACACGCCAGGGGTGCCCCCTCTCACCTCTTCTGTTTGTGCTGTCTCTAGAACCCCTCCTGCGCACGATCCGCGCTAACCTGGACATTCATGGTATCACAATTGGCCAGACGGAACATAAGGTAGCCGCTTTTGCGGACGATCTTATTTTCTTTCTCTCATCCCCGGATGTATCAATCCCTGTACTGCTTCAGGAATTGAGGAGCTACGGAACCCTCTCAAATTTTCGAATTAACTCTACTAAATCAGAGGCCCTCCATATATCTCTTACGGGTATGTCACTGCGTAGAGTCCTTGAAAACTTTTCTTTCAAATGGGCACCCAACGCCATCAAGTACTTAGGTATACTTCTTCCCAAAGACCCCTCGCATACGTTCATTTTGAATTTCCCCCCACTACTTTCACATATAAAATCAGACTTAGCCACATGGGCCAAAAATTCTTTCTCCTGGATGGGGCGCAGTAACATCCTGAAACAATCTATCCTCCCACGCCTACTGTACCCTCTCCAAGCACTGCCAATACACATCCCCCTATCCTTTTTTCGCAGTATACGAGCGGTTTTTACGGAATTTGTCTGGCTCCGTAAACCACCGAGACTGAGTTACGATATTATGCGGAGACCTAAGCATTTAGGGGGGATGTTGCTCCCGGATGTACACCAATACTATATTGCCACGCACTTAGCCCGTATAGTTGATTGGAACCACCACTCTCCCTCAAAACTCTGGATTGAGATAGAACAATCCCTCGTAGGAGTTCCACTGGCCAACCTACCTTGGAGTATAAAGCCACCAACTCCCCAAATACGCTCGCATCCCACTATTGGACCCACATTAAAACTAGCAAGTGCGGTCTTCGCCAAGGTATCTCTCTCCTCCTAACCCTTCTCCCCTTTTTCCCATACTTGATAACCCCTCCTTTCCCCCAGGCATAGGACACCACACATACTTGACTTTGAGAGGATTGGGTATCCAAAAAGCTATGCATCTCTTGAAGAGCACAGAGTGGCCTTCCTTCCATGCCCTCCATACTCAACCAGAATATGGACCTCTCGATTTCTGGTCCGCCATGCGCCTAACCCACTTCCTCTCTACCATTCCACTGGTGCATAATCATAAAAGACCGCTCACCCCATTTGAACAACTCTGTACCCAAACTGACCCCCCACGACATGTCCTCTCCTTCTGCTACACGCAATTGATCGAACAGTCGGTCCAACCCCCACTATGGTTCCTGTCAAGATGGGAGGAGGAACTCCAGATTGCTATAATAACAGAAGCCGCAACTAAACTACTGTCTTTTTCTTACCGTTCCTCAATTAGCAACAGGTACCAAGAATTGGGCTACAAAATAGTGACCAGATGGTACCGCATGCCCCAAACCCTCCATTCATTATTCCCGGACTCACCAGACCAGTGCTGGCGCTGCCAACAGTCCTCGGCAGGCATGCTCCATATGTTCTGGTCTTGTCCGGCCCTTGTGCAATTTTGGGATAAGGTGCACGCCCTTGCGCAAAAATTTACTGATGCTCCGGTTCCACGAGACCCTGCCTTCTTCCTCTTACACCACAATAATATACCGATGCGTGTCTATTCCTGCTCTCTTACTAGACACATAGTCAACGCAGCCCGGGCCTGTATACCAGCTCTCTGGAAAAAACCTGAACCACCGCTTATCAGACAGGTTTTTGACCGCATCCACGATATTTACCTCATGGAAGATCTCACGAGCTCAATTAACCACAACTATAATTTATTCTTTAATACATGGCATCCCTGGATGGAATTTATGCGCTTGCCTGAATATCTCACCTTTGGAGTGCAACCGAGATTATAACATAATATACCGTATTCTGATCGAGCATCTCCCTCTCTTTCTTCCCCTCCTGAAGTCTCTCTCTCCTCCCCCACTCTTTCACACAGACCCTGGGTATTATTGATAACCATTAATAAACCACTTGGCATCTTCCCTACCCCACTATACCTAACATTTATCCAATAACTCAACACATAAGTTGGTACTATGTACACATGTGTGCCCTCCACTATATCACTGCCCGCATATAACCAGCGAGGTGTCAAGTCGGCTGTTTTCTCATCTTTTCTAAACTCTTTCATGAAATTGATGAAGAGAACATTTACCAATAAGGCACGGGCCAGTTAATTACATCAGACGCCCAAAATGACAGTGCGGCCGGCAAAAACACCTGACTACCCATCTTCGGTCCCACCACACGAGCCAGAAAGTTGCCTCCCCCTTTCTTTTCTTTGATGCCTGTATGGCCAAACAATTAGTTGATTGTGTTTTTCACAGTTTTGAAATGACCGTGTTGGTTTATAATTGCAAAGATTGTATTATGTATACCCCTTTCTTTTTCCTGCACTGTCCTTTATGTACGGTGTAAGCTATAAAAATTGAAAAATAAAGAATTTATTAAAAAAAAAAAAGACTTTTTCCAGCAGGTGGGTTAACCCTTTAAATCCCAGAATATTCATAGTGGGGGCTGGTGGCTCTGTCCCACCCAATATTTCTCTAAGCTTTCAGAATACAGGACCCATATCTGGCTGTCACATACGAAGAAGTGTGGCAGCAGCGCTGGAGGTAGCTCACATTTTGTGGTGGGCAGTGAGCCACCTTCCGTCTCTTTCTGCAATTTACATGCCAGGAACGGACAATTAATGTCGCAGTTAGGTTGTCTGTGTCAGGCAGAATGGTCCTTCCATCAGGAGTTTTTTTCAACAACTCTGTCTTTAGTGGGGAACATTGGATGTGGATCTTCTGGCATCCAGGCTCAACTGGAAGGTAGACAGGTTTGCAGCCCAGGAAAAGGATCCGTGGGCAGACGCAAAGAATTCACTAGTGGCACCGTGGTAAAACTACATTCTAATTTTTGGCTTCCCACCTCTGAAACTTCTTACCTGTTTGCTATGCAAGATAGAACTTAAAGGCATTCCAGTGATCCTGGTAGCCCCAGATTGGCCGTGATGGTTTTAGTATGCAGATGTGATTTGTCTGGTTGCACATGCACCTGGTGGCTATCTCCAATTTCTCACCCTTCTTTACTGTCTCAGGCTTTGATGACATTGCTGTTTAAAAGCCAAGTGTTAAAAGACAAGGTTCCTCCTTCTACTATTATAAGCATGATGGTGAAGGCTCATAAGTCCCCCTACTGGATGAGATATTATTGCACATAAGCTTATTTTCCCTAGTGTACATCTGAGATATCATCCTTGCATGTTCTCCAAAACCCAGGTTTTAGTTTTCCTCCAAAGGGGGGTGGACCAGTATCTATATGGCCTTGAGAACAGGTTGCAAGGTTTCGGTAGTCCTTTTTCAATGTCCCCTGGCTGTTCGTTCCTTGGTTTGCACTTTTATTCAGGGTATTGTTAATGTTACCCCCTCAAATTAACTTTCTTGACTAAGCCTCCAGTGACACTGGGATCTGAATTTGGATCTTTCTGTTTTACAGAAGATTTGAAAACATCAGAGATTTCCTTTTTAACTCTTTCCCAAAAGGTGACCTTTTTAGTGGCTGTCACCGTGGCTCAAAGAGTCTTGGAGTTGGCGGCCTTGTCTTGCCAGCAGCCCTTTTTGGTTCTGCACTAGGATGAGGTCATTCTACATCTTAGGGTTTCTTTCTTACCTTCCACCTGAATGAGGATATTGTACTCTTGTTTTTGTCCAAAGCCTACTCCTCCTAAGGAAATAGCTCTGCTTTGTCTTTATAATGTCAGGACTCTCGGGGTCTATTTTATTGTTATAGCTTCTGTCTGTAAAACAAACTCCCTCTTTGGTCATGAATGGTAACTTGATTATTGGTTCACACCTTTTACCGGATTTTACAAGGTTTATGTTGTGTTTGCAGATGCAAGTTTTAAACACAAAGTGCTATAGGTGTTGATTTAGATGTCCTTGCTTTGTTTGGGCTCTTTTTCTTCCCTATTTTTGGTTCGGCTCATTCCTTTTTTGATACTGCTTTTGGACATCCCATCAGTTATGATCCTGAGAATCGGCTGTAACCTTCAATGAATTAAAGGAAAATTTGTTTTTTTTTGTACTTGCCTAAAATCCTCCTGATTAGTTTTGTTGTTGCTGATGTTTGAGTCTTTTTTTTTTTCTTTTTTCTTCTGTACTGCTTGCTACTAACTGAGCTGATTGTTGCAGATGGGGGATCTGAACACCAGCAGGGGCTGCACCTAGGTTGTTGCTTTATTTTCTTATACCTACTCCTGGCACTATCGCCCATCGGTTTTGATCTTGAGAATCAACTGTGTCCTTCATAGAATGCAAAGAAAAGGATTTTATGGTGAGCACAAAAATATTATTAAACCTTTAATAGTTTGAGGGGAAAAAAAGATAAAACCATGTGTTTCATCTGCAGGTTCACATGTGAAACAACGGGGTGGAGCTGCTGCGGGACTGCTGCTTGCTCTGGTCACTTGTCACATCCATACCCTTCATTCTGTCATCACTATCCTTGGGACATGGCTTATTGTGAAAATTTCACCCAGGTAAAATGTGGATAGGCTTTTGAGAAAAGAACAATATTGAGCTAAGGTGGGTCATTTATTAAAGGAGTATGTTGCCCATAGACATTAGACAGTCATCAACTATTCTGGCTGGGTTAAGTGATGGCTTGAATGCCTAGGGACACCTTTTTAGATGCAAGCATGCATGACTGAATGATTAGGTTGTTCTCATTGGGTTGGGTGGATGTCCACATTTGATTGGTAATGTTCCAGTTAGGCTAGTGGTTATAGAGCTGCTTGGGTCTCCTTGAAGGCAACTTATATTGATCGAAATATGCAATGCTATTTCTGGCCTCTTGCTTCTAAATGCTATTGCCTAGTTGTCATGTTGAATAGCTTCAATACATTCTGTGTATCTGACCCAGAAGAATAATGCAGATCAGGAGTTTTTATGGAAGGAAGCTGAAAGTGCATTGATACCGAATTTTCTTGTGAGTATTGGTAATTAATCAGAGCTTACCCACACACTCCAAGCTTATATCAAGAATTAAAGTATATACACAGGCATTTTATTTGGTTTTGGGCATTTGAAGGAAGTCAGATTTGGGAAAGGTTACAATCACTTTTATTGCTGTCTTTCTCTAAAGCAGGGGTCTCAAAGTACTGGCCCGAGGGCAAAGTGCGGTCCGCGAACTAGTACTATGTGGGCCACAGCCAACTGACAAGTCAGGCATGCGGTCACGGACTGCATACCCGACTTGCGAGAGCAGCTACACAATCTGCATGCAGACTGCAGAGCTGCTCCTGGTTGTGCTGGTGTCACCAACACTCAGTTCCTTTTGGCTAGTGCTCTTCACTGAGCACTGGCTGAAAGGATGGATTAGTAAGGTCTGCACCAGCCAAAGGTGCAGACCTTACTAATCAACCACGGGATCACCAGAGATTGTGCCTCCTCCCTGCAAAAACGTAAGCAGGTAAGGGAGCTCTGTTTTCTTTTGTGTGTGCAAGGAGGATTGGGGGTAGAGTGTATTTTTTTTATGTGCGGGCGGGGAGGTTATTATTGTGCATTAGTTTTTTGTGCGCGTATTAAGCGCCCCATTCACACCTGTAAGCTTGGGTGCGATTAGGGATTTATGCGTCAGGAACTTGCGTTTTCCAGCAGCAGGAATCCCTAATCTGGCATTTACAAGTGGCAGCTGTCACTCCTTCAAGTTAATAATCGGGGGACAGACGCTGCATGTAAACACCTGCATACCGCATGTACTATGTGATATGATTACATGCAGTTAGAAAACAATCACTCTGAATTGAGTTTTAGAGCAGCGGTCTCAAGGCGCTCACTACCTGGCCAGGTCACAACATCACTGTCACAAGTGAGCGAAAGTCTCCTCGACAAAATCTCATGCAGAAAATAAAACCTGACATAGGTTGTAACCCTTTTACAATATATCCAAAACAAAATTGGAGGACAAAGCAGATTCCTAGGTTTGTGCCCTACTTTAATGTGTGA